TGGGCTTCAGCTCAGCCACCTGGGTGCAGCTGCCTGTGGCATGCATCAATATTTAAGCAGGGGAAAGGATCTGTTCTGCCTTCTGGGGATGGCCCTCTTCCCACCCTGTCTGATCTGATTGGAGTGGGATGAAGAGGGAGAAGCAGCTGGCAGTTTGGCTTCAATGGGTGATGGAGCACTGTGAGCGTCAGGTGCCCCGTGGTCTGCTCCCCAAGAGGTAGCACGCTCATTTTTTCTCTCTTTTCTCTTCTCTCCCGGTTTTCCCTTCTTCCTTCACCCGCTCTTATTTTTTCTGCCTGCTGCCTTTTCCCCAACAATTCACCTCTCACTCATTTTTTTTCCTTTCCCTTGATCTGGGATATTGCTGGGTTTCTCCTCATCTCTGACAGCTTCACAGATACTCATCAAGGCTCTGTACTGGCGCTGGGGATACCAGGCTTGAACAGGGAAGGCGAGGCTCCTCTTCTTTCAAAGCTTGAAGTCCAGTGAGACCTAAAGGCTGTGGCTCCAACCAACCCCCAGGTTGGAACTGAAACTCTACCAAGGTAGGGATCAAGTCTGTTTGCTATTTGTTCATCACTTTGTCCCCAGCTCTTAGAACAGTGACTGACACACAGCAGGCCAGTATAAGTTTTTAGAAGGAATGAAGAAAGGAGATTTCACCCAGTCCTTTCCTAAACCACGGTGGACATATCTTTGAGCCTTTCTCATCACCATCTAGCCAATTCTTCCCCACCTTCAGGTCCCAGTCCAAGGCTGCCTCTCTAGAACACGTTCCCTTATACCTTCCACACTGTATTCTGTTATCTGATGTCATGGCAGACCTCCCTTCACCCCTTACTGCACAGTGAAATTCCCAGGGGAGGAGGAAGGTTTCTAGGTGGCTTTCTAAGTTGCAGCGAGTGCTCAATATGTGTTTTCTGACTGAGAAGTCATGACATTTGGATAAATCTTGATATCTTATGTCACAGCCCTGGTCCTCCCCACTCTCTACCTGCTCAGATCACACCATCCTTTTGACCCAGATGATGAAGATTTCTCTGACACAGTACAGTACCATTTTCATCTATCTACTCAGCAAAGATGAAGAAAAATAAAGAATGGGAATTTTAAGTCTATTTCTGGTAAGGATACCAATGGGAGCAAACATTGGTAAAACCTTTTTGGAAGGCAATTTGGCCAAAAATCATTTGAAAAACTTAAAATGTACACAACTTTTGACACAGCAATTCCACTTCTGAGAATTTATTTTGTGGAAATAATTTTAAATGTTCCCAAAGATTTCTTCAATACAGTGTGTATCCCAGTTGATGTTTATAATGTTAAGAAACTGGAAATCCTCACTAAGCAATGAATTGAGCTGAATACAGGTAAAAACCTACAAAGTAATATTTTAAAAATGAAGTTAATGTAATTACCGACCGGACAAGACGTGAATGTTGGTGTTGTGTTGTTGTTAAATAAATCAGCATATATAATAGATCTTATTTATATAAAAAATTATAACATTGTATTTCCATAGAAAAAATCTGGAAAGGTATGTAACTAAGTAATATGTGGGCTTCTCAGAGTGATGGGAACTTATTTGATTTTTATGTTTTTTTTATCTGTATTTTTCCACTTAATTTATGTACAAACATGAATTATTGATGATATATAACCTCTATAAATCTTTAGCTTACCAAGGCCAGGAGTTCGAGACCTGCTGGCCATAACTGTGAAACCCTGCCTCTACTAAAAAATGTTTTTTCTTGTGACAGGATCTCACTCTGTCATCCAGGCTGGAATACAGTGTCACAATCACAGCTTACTGCAGCCTCAATGCCCTGCTGGGTTCAAATGATCCTCCTATCTCAGCCTCCTAAGTAGGTGGAACTACAGGCATGCACCACCATGCCCTGCTAATTTTTAATTTTGTTTTCTAGAGACCAGGGTCTCACTTTATTGCCCAGGTTGGTCTTGAATTCCTGGACTCAAGCATTCCTCCCATCTTGGCCTCTCAAAGTGCTGGAATTATAGGCATGGGCTGCTGTGCCTGGACCATAATGATTTTTTTGTTTAAGTTATAAGAAATTGTGTGAATGCCTTGCTCTTCTTTTACTCTAAAAGTAAACTGTTTAAAGTCAAATAGACTTGGAAAACTTAAAATTCCCACATGGAGTAAGGACAGTTTTAGATCTGAGATGCTCAAAGGAGAGCCTTTATCTGCCTGAGCCTCTGTAGCCACGAGTGAGTCTAATTTCCCAATGCTCTGAGAAACTGTGACAGAGAATCATTACCCTTGAAATGGGTTTGCGTAATATAAAACATCAGGGTCTCCTCTCTATTTAGTGAGTGTATTAACATTCGTGGGGGTTCCCGTGCGTGCTCTGAGGGAGAGTCCTGTGACATCGTGTCTGCTTCGTATTGAACTCAATCACTTGTAGAAAATGTGTAAGGTAATAGGGATATTACACGGGGTGATATTATGGAAAATCCTAATTGGTACCAAAGTAATTCTTACTAGAGTGGACTATAAAAGCTTCAGTGCCATTCTAACTAATCACCCCTGTGGCATTCTGAGCAAATGCAGGTTAATGGTGATGATCTTAATTTTTTATTAATTAAATTAAGTGTGTAATCTGACAATGTAGGCCCATCATCAGCGTTCATCATACTGATAATAAATGGCTTGAATATTCAGCTCCTTTGGCTTCACCAAAGCCCCTAACTCCTCTTCCATCCACCACACTTACAGACTAAGAGAGATCTCCAAGCCACCCATCAGAGCCCAGAAACAATAAATAATGAAGCCATATGCCAGAGACTGGGGTGGAGAAAAGGCAGGGTGGATTCCTGGGCCTAGGAGAAGCCTCCAAACTCAGAGGCTGCAATTGCTCAACCCTCTGTTCTCTGCTTCTACACCCTGAGTTCCTCTTTAGCCAATGACTTCTCATAATACTTAAAGGTAGAAAGGTGAAGAGTTCAGAAAAGTGAACGTGAAAACGACAGATGCAAATATAAAAATAGAAGAATATGTCTTATGTAAATATATCTTAGATGAAAACATAAGACATGAAAGTGTAAGTGAATGTGAAAACAGAGAATATATTCAAATAAAATTAAACAATTGATCAAGCTGCTAGATTCTGGCTTCTTGAGTTTATGGCTGGACAGGGTCTCAGTCATCACTGTTTTCCCTACGCCTTGCACCAGACCCGTCATGTGGTAACCTCTATAAACCTTTAGCTTACCAAGCCAACACATCGTTAGACTTCCTTTTCTCAAAGTGTGTTCCGTGGAAGACTAACTCGCCAGATACATTCTAAATTGAAACCTGTTGACAATTAAATTTGAGAAATCCTGCCTTTCACCCTTTCCTCCAGGAGACTTATATAATGGTATTTTGAAGTCAATGATAAGTATTTTGGAAAAGAAATATTTTTAAATTGTTTAACCCAACATGGTCTAACTGAATTGTCTAAGCAAACTGATTTGATCACAGAACTCTATTAGCATCTAGAGCACTGTTCAGCAATAGACTGCCTTAGATATCTGCTGGCACGCTTACAGCCCCAGGGAGCAGATAAAAAGATTAAGATGGAAATAACAATTTCCTGATTCTCCTTAAATCCTGGCATAATAGAGATGAAAATCTCCCTTGATTGTGACTAAATCCCTAATAAAAATACAGAATTATAGGGTTTTAGACTGGAGGGGAGCTTGGACATCATATGTCTTAACCTCGGCTCATTGCAGGAATCCACTTTACAGCATCCATGATAGATACGTTGTCATCTCCGCCTGGACACCTTCAAGAGCCAGGATTCTGCAACTCACCATGCAGTAGATTGCGTTAGGATCCAATCTCTTCTTCTGATGAGTCAAAACCTGCCTTTCTGAGGTTCTAGGTCTCATCCTGGAATAATAATACAACCCACTCTCTCATATGTCTACGTCCCAGTTCTTATGCCCTCAGTTAATGTATCAGGAATTCTCAGTCGCTACACTTTAAAGTATAATCAGAATAAATAAGAAAAGTCATCCAGGCACAGTGGCTCATGCCTGTAAATCTCAAAATTTTGGGAGGCTGACGGGGGAGGATCACCTAAGGCCAGGAGTTTGAGACCAGCTGGCCATAACTGTGAAACTCTGCCTCTACTAAAAATATAAAAATTAGCTGGGCATGGTGGCACATGCCTGTAATCCCAGCTACTTGGGAGGCTGAGGCAGGAGAATCACTTGAACCCAGGAGGCAGAGATTGCAGTTAGCCAAGGTCGCACCACTGCACTCTAGCTTGGGCAACAGAGCAAATAAATAAATAAATAAGAAAAGGGGTTTCTGAATGGTTACTAGAGGGAGAAAAGAAAAAAATCTTACTACTTGAGTTATAGAAACAAGATAATAGAAATCCTTTAGTTGAAATTCCAAAATCCATTAAGTTCTGAAAACAGAAGTGTTTTTTATAACTTTGGATGCAAACTTGTTAGGCGACAAAACGTGACTCAAACTGATTTGAAGCTATTTATAGTCTTTACTTATCTTGCCAAGTGTGGGTACACATATATTTGACTTAAGAAATACTTAAAATAAATAAATAAATATAAATTAAAAAGAAATAATATGTTTGATTACAGAAACAGGAGTGGTTCCTCAGACTCTGCTAGGAATATTATATAACATATGGTATCTGTGCTGTATTATCTTCCTAAAATCGGACAAAGTCTAAATTCTGCAACAATCTGGCCCCAAGGATTTGGGGTGTGCAGCCGTGACTCTGTCCTTTCCTCAGTACCTTCCGTGTGCTCAGCACTTGACCTGGATTTGTTTCTTTACTCCTCACAACTCTGAAAGGCAAAGAACCATTTCTGTCCCACCTTACAGATGAGGAAATTTATCCAGTTTTGCAGCCATTTTTCTTTTCTTACTGACTGTTCGATATTTGTAAAGAAATCCATTTCTACTTCAGTTAGTAATATGCTAATCAACAACAAAATGATTAAGTCGCAGGATCCAATATGGGACGCTGGTGCACCCCAGCAGAGTCCATGCCAGAAAGGGAAGACTGCGAGGTCCATGGTGCAGAAGAAGGCTTCAGAAGAATCCCTCCCGCTGGCCTCCATTGTAAGGTACTCAGATTCCTAATGTCTGCCTCTTCCAACTGCTCCTTTACCACCTAAGCCTTTGGAAATTTGGGTGGGGTTGGGAGAGCCATAGATGCCTTTTGCAGGAAAAAGTATTATTCTGTTTTAAATTAAGTTATGTCAAAGCCTGGATTTAGCTTCTGGGATAAAACTTTCTTACTGCCTGCTGCCCACCCTTCCTATGACCAATTATGATGAGATTTGAGGATCGTCCAAAATTCCATTCCATTGGTTCTTTTGCTATACTTGAAATTTCCATGTGAGTGTTTGTCTTGTGTGCAGTTCAACCTATTATAAACTTAATTTAAGCTATTATAAACTTAATTTAAATAATCAAGGGTGCGAGTCAGTCATGTAGCCAGGCCGCGAGGGAACTAACACAGAGCACACCAGGTGTGGTGGGGAAGAAGAGGCAAGAAGTGTGGGGAAGCTCCAAAGCGCGGATACTTCTGGAGGAGATCTACAGAGGGTAAGTTTGAGGACACGTGGTACCCAGCTTTGTGGCATTGAGCACTGGTGGGAAGAGGCAATGAAAGGGAAAAAGAGGCAGGAGAAAGGGGACAAAGCATCTCCAAAGTTCAGCATGGCCCATGGGAGCTATGTTCATAGGATTACGCCTATGCGGTACACTAAGCGCGTCCAACCCGTTGCCCAAGGACCCCGTACGGCCCAGGACAGCTCTAAATGCTGCCTGACACAAATTTGTAAACTTAAAATATTATGAGTTTTTTTTCTTTTAGCTCATCAGCTATCATTCGTGTTAGTGTACTTTATGTGTGGCCCAAGACGATTATTATTCTGGGGTGGCCCAGGGAAGCTAAAAGATTGGAGACCCCTGCATGTAAACCCTCTTAAAATGGTTGACTCATAATTATTTTGGACCATTCACTAGATAACATCACTCACCAGCTGGAGTCCAGGGGCTGGAATTGACGCGAAGTTCCAGAACCAGGAAACAGGACATGTTAAGAGCCTCCAACCTCAGCTATGCCCGTATCCCCTTGGCTGGCTTTGTTCCAGCCACGCTCCTGCACACCACCCTCCTCAGCCGGAAAAGCTCTTCCCCTTACCCGACTTTTCCCACTCTCTGCTAAGGGACCTCAAACCCATCCCTGCATTCAACCTGAATGTCACCTCCCGGAGAGGCCTGCCCTATCCACACCCCGCAGCCACTCTAGATCACATTCTGCTTATTCAACCTTTTTTCATTGTTTTATTGTTTTTCTCCTTCAGAGCATTCATCACAATTTGTAAGTGCGGTTGTTCTCACTTATCCACGGTTTCAGTTACCCAAGATGGATAATAGGTGAGTACAGTACAGTAAGATACTTTGAAAGAGAGAGATCACATTCACACAACTTTTATTATAGCGTATTTTATAATGTTCTATTTTATTAGTGGTTATTGTTGTGAATCACCTACTGTGCCTAATTTATAAACATTATAGGTATGTATATGTAGGAAAACTATATAGTATATGAAAGGTTTGGTACTATTTGAGGTTTCAGGCATTCACTGGGGGTCTTGGCACGTATCGCCGACAGATAAAGGGGGACTACTGTATTTATTTGTTTATTTAATGTATGTCTATTCCTCTAGGTTATAAATGTTATGAGTACCCACTAAGGGCAAATCCTTAATAAGTAGACTTTCAGTGAATCACAGAAGTGGTAGCCCTTTTCATCTTCATAATAATTCTCCGAACTAAGTTTTACAGATGAAACTAAAGAGGCTTACCACCCAAGGGGGATGACTTTTGTACCCTGAAATGGTGAAGTACATACCCTGCACTGTTGTGTGTGACAATTCTGCTCAGAAGCTCCTTGCTGTAAACCATTTAGAAGTGGTATTATTTTCAAAGGAAGAGTGTCTCTCTGCTCCTCTTCCCGCCATTGTGACAACCACGGCTGGAGGAATTAATAATGAACAGAAAGTCCAATTAGCCTCACCCATCACATCAGTCCTAGAGCTAAATCCCGGTTTCTTGCAAGCCCCAAGAAAAGACTCTCCTGTTTATATATCATGTTAATAATTAATTGATTAGTTAATCAACAAGCTAGTCCTGTAAGATTGTCCTGTCCTCTTTGACCCTCTGCGTCCTGGTCAGGGTCAGTGCACCTGTGCTCACGTATGCGTTATGTTAATATGAAAGACTGAAGGGGCTGCGTAGGGTGGCATATGCCTGTAATCCCAGCACTTTGGGAGGTCGAAGTGGGTGGATCACCTGAGGTCAGGAGTTTGTGACCAGCCTGGCCAACATGGCGAAACCCTGTCTCTACTAAAGATAAAAAATTTAGCTGGGCAGAGTGGCAGGCGCCTGTAATCCCAGCTACTTGGGAGGCTGAGGCAGAATAATTGCTTGAATCCAGGAGGCAGAGGTTGCAGTGAGCCAAGATCATGCCATTGCACTCCAGCCTGGGTGACAGAGAGAGAGACTCTGTCTCAAAACAAATAAATAAATAAAAAGAAAGACTGAAGGAAGGACCATTTGGAAACATGCACATGATAAATGCTTTTTAATGCTCTGAAATTTTATGAGGGAGCTGCACATTTTGTACCTGTTGAGACTAGTTTTTTGCTTTTTGATTTAAGGACTGTTTAAAGCTGGTTGGGCATTGATTGAAAATGTATACCAGTGCCTGGTTATACCAAGATGGTAAGTCAAGGCTCTGACTTCAAGGAGCTCCCATCAAGTGCTCCAACAGGAGAGACAAGGACGGCTTCTCAGAAGAGGAAGCTCAGGGGACAGGAGAGAGGATAGGTGGGGAGGTCACGGAAACTATCCTGGGCAGAGGGCAGAGCCTTGGGGACCGGGAGTGATGGAACAAAAGCAGAAGGCCAGGCTGGAGAAAAAAATGCTGTTCCTTTTTTCCTGGGTGCTTGTGGAAGAGGCTCCACTCTGTGATATTTTATAAGATACTGCAGAGACATTTGCTATTGAGAAATTGTATCTGAAATGTGGACCAACTTACTCTTCCTGCTGCTCTGGTACCGCAGCTGTCAACTCTAACCCTAATGTAACTGATTCCTTTGCAAGATGCAGGGCAGAGGCTGGTTTTCAAGAAATGCCAACTATTCCATTCCTATCAGGTTTTAAAACTGTCTTTCACTTCTATTCTAAGCAGCAGTTGGGTAGCCATAAAGCCTTACAGCTCAGACCAGTGCTCCTGTTCCCAGCAGCTCATTAGAACCACTGGTGGTGCTTTTTAAAAACACACATGCCCAATCTACTAAAGCTGAACTTAGGTATATGCTGCACTCAACAATTGCACTCCCAGGTAAACACCCAACAAATGTAAAAATTCACCAAAAGGCATACGAAAATTTCATGGCAGCACTATTTGTAATAGCACCACAAAGAACCACCTAAGTACCTAGCAACAACTGAATGAGTAAATAAATTGTAGTATGTTCAAACAGTAGACTAGCATATAGCACTGAAAAGGAAATAACTAATATAACATACACCATCATAGGTGAATTTTAGAAATACGAAGTAGAGTAAAATAAGCTGGATGCGAGAAAACACATCCTGCATGATTTCATTTTAGCTTTATACAAAAAATCAGAAAAAATTAATCCATATGTTAATCAGGATTGTGGCTATGTCTTGGAAGGATAGTAACTAAAAGGGGGCCCTGGGGGCCTTCTGGGATTCTGGGTGCTGATTGCATGAGCGTGTTCACTTGGTGAAAAGTCATCAAGCAGAGTATTTATGATTTATACACTTTTCTGTATAATGTTATATTATTTCATTAAAATATTTTTAAAACTACATCTGCCTAAATTTTACCCCCATATATTCAATTTCAGTCAATCTGAAATGGGAATGAGACCCATTTACCTGTATTTTTTGAAGATTCTCAGTCCAGGCACAGTGGCTTATGCCTGTAATCCCTACACTTTGGGAGGCCAAGCCGGTGAGAATCACGTGAGATCAGGAGTTCGTGACCAGCCTGGCCAAAATGGTGAAACTCCACTCTGCTAAAGATACAAAAAATTAGCCAGGCATGGTGGGGCACACCTGTAGTCCCCGCTACTCAAGAGAATTGCTTGAACCCTGGAGGCGGAGGTTGCGGTGAGCTGAGATCGTGCCACTGCCCTCCAACCTGGGTGACAGAGCAAGACTCAGTCTCAAAAAAAATGATTCTCAGGTGTTTCTATTGTACATCCAATTTCAGGAATCACTGACTAGGATTACCATTGGTTTTGATTTCCTGGATTTAATCCCCTTTGTTTGCATATTAAAAGAGTTTACTCATTGCTTTTCTTTTCATTTTTTTCCCCTCAAAATAAGAGTAAAATAGCCAGGCATCTCCATGCCACTGAAATGAATGGAGGCTGGAAAGGCGGTACTTTCTCAGTGTCAGTATTTGATTTGCAGAAGTATTTGTACTCTGGAACTTCAAGAATCCCTCATAAAATTAATTTGTTCAATTAGCCAAATGTTTATTGAACCCCTACAATAATAAGAGCTAACGATTACTAACTTTATGAAGCATTTCCCTGGGCTGGGCATGATCCTCTATCCTTTGCTTATGTTCTGGGGTTAAGTGTGCAGGCTCCGGAGCCAGGTGACCCTGTTAAAACTCTGGCTTTGTAACTTAGTTGTGTGACTTTGGGAACGTTACTTTGCCAGTCTGTGACTCAGTTTCCCCCTCAGTAAATTAGGGATCATAATAATATTGATTCTTGAAGTTGGGCTGAGGAGTAAATAATGTTTAGCCCCCTACTGTAAGTAAGTGCCACCTACTGTAACAAGTGCTACATATGTATAAGCTGTTAGTTTTCTCAAAAGTCTGGTGAGATGGCTGCTTGAATAATGCTAATTTTTAGTTGAAGAAATTAAGCTTAGGGAAGTTGCACAACTTGTCCAAGGTCATACAGCTGGCAAATAGCAAAATCAGAATTCCAAGCCAGGTTACCTAATCCCAGCACTGGGATATGCTGCCATCACACTCTCTTTCCTATGCTGACATATTTCTTTCTGGGTCTGTGTTTTGATATACACAGGATTTAAATTAATTTCTTTCTTTTTTTCTTTCTTTCTTTTTTTCTTTCTTTCTTTCTTTCTTTCTTCTTCTTTCTTTCTTTCTTCTTCTTTCTTTCTTTCTTTTTTTGAGACAGAGTCTCGCTCTGTCGCCCAGGCTGGAGTGCAGTGGTGCAATCTTGGCTCACTGCAACCTCTGCCTCCCAGGTTCAAGCAGTTCTCTGCCTCAGCCTCTCGAGTAGCTGGGATTACAGGTGCCTGCCACCACGCCCAGCTACTTTTTGTATTTTTAGTAGAGAAGGGGTTTCACTATTTTGGTCAGGCTGGTCTTGAACTCCTAACCTTGTGATCCACCCACCTCGGCCTCTTAAAGTGCTGGGATTACATGCATGAGCCAACGTGCATGGCCAGGGATTAACTTTCTAAAAAGAAGATTCTGCTAAACAGATCTTTCAAGAGCCTCAAAAGCAAGACTATTTCATGAGCAACTCATAGTGACAAGCAGAGCCCCTGCAAGTGAAAAGGGAGCTCTTTCCAGTTAAGCTCCGTCTGTCAAGGTGGGATGGAATGGGTAAGCTTTTTTGCTTTCTGAAGTCAAAAATACTTTTTTTTTTTTTTTTTTGAGAAGGAGTTTTGCTCTTGTTGCAATGGCAAAATCTCAGCTCACCGCAACCTCTGCCTCCTGGGTTCAAGCAATTCTCCTGCCTCAGTCTCCTGAGTAGCTGGGACTATAGGCGTGCACCACCATGCCCAGCTAATTTTTGTATTTTTAGTAGAGACTGTGTTTCGGTCAGGCTGGTTTCGAACTTCTGACTTTGTGATCCTCCTGCCTTGGCCTCCCAAAGTGCTGGGATTACAGGTATGAGCCACCATGCTTGGCCAAAAACACTTTTTAAAAAGGAATTTGTCATGCCTTGTTGCATAATACTGGGCAGTATTTCTAGAACATGAAAAAATGAATATGAAAACTTGTATTTTGATTCATGGCCTCTTAGAAGTGGTGCTTTCATTAATAATTCTGACTTGACTTTTTCCTCCCAGATTACTGGAAGTTTTTAAATGTTACAAATATGTTTCTGACTAGAGTTAGGGAATGAAGAGTGAAGAGGTAGAAAGAAGGAGGAAGCACATTCCTAAAGACACTAACAGTGCCCATTTCTTTTTCTTTTTCTTTTTCTTTTTTTTTTTTTTGAGACAGAGTTTCGCTTTCGTTGCCCAGGCTGAAGTGCAGTGGCATAATCTCAGCTCACTGCAACCTCTGTCTCCTAGGTTCAAGCGATTCTCCTGCCTCAGCCTCCCAAGGAGCTGGAATTACA